CTGATCATTGTTCCTCTTTGTCTTTGTTCTGGATTGTGAGGTCTATTTTTGGTACAAACATGCTATGAAGGTGTTTATCTTTAACTTGTTTTGACTTCCATTTTTTCTATTCTTGGAAAAATCTTATTCCTTTCTCTTACACGTTTCTGATTGACTTTTTGGGTGATATACAATCTAAAGTACAAGAGAAAGATGGTACGTTGATTTAACTAGTTCTACCTCATCAATGCTTTCCAAAACTTCTTTTTTAATCCATTCACTTATCAAAAAAGAATTGCAAGGTTTGAAATAAGCTTTTGGGTTTTTCTTGCATCACTTCTATCATAATGTGTCCTCAATTAACTGTGATTAACTCGCATTCGTCCAGCCAGCCAACGTGTGTAGAGTGGTACTTGATCGTGATATTTATGGTAATGTTCTTCTGAAATAAAATAAATTAATTGCTTCCTAGGTGCAATTGCTTTGATTCAGCTACAAGAGGACATGAAAAGGCAGCTCAGTGCAGAAGGAAATTACACTGAAGAAGAACTTGAAGAGTATATGCAATCCCACAAGAAGTTAATGATTGATTCTCTCTGGAAGCTCAATGTAGCTGATATTGAAGCCACCCTTTCTCGTGTTTGTCAAATGGTTGTTCACACTTTATCATGTTCTGTTTGTGGCTTATCTTATATTGTTTCATTTCGTTATTTTAGTATTCATTGCTTTATTTAGGTTCTACAAGACAACAATGTGAAGAAAGAAGAGCTTCGTGCCCGCGCAAAGGGGTTGAAAACTCTTGGCAAAATTTTTCAGGTACTACTGCTCACCAATATTTTTTATATGTAGTGTGATCCTTTCATTTAGTTAACCTATTAGTTCTGAAGAATGAACTACATATGTTCAGAAGGTTAAGAATGGCAATGAAACCGAAACTACGGTAAATGGTCAAGTACACAAGTTGGACGGAAATGATCCGAGTTGCGACTCTCGTTCTTCAACTGCGTCAGTACAATCATCAAATAAAGAGGAGGTGCCTTCTACTGTATTTGTGTCACAGGTACTGTTCTTGATTGTGTTCCATTTTCCTTTACGTACAGCTATCTTGCACAGGTTTGTTTCCTTTACTGGCCTTCTTCTTCTTTTGGTCNCCGCCACACACACACACAAAAAAAAAACCTTATTTGAAACCTCATTCCCAAACCACTAACTCTGGGAAACAGTTTTTCTCCCCCACTTAGTTTCTCTTATCCTTTCGAAGGAGTTTGTAGAACAGTTTTAAGATTAAAAAACTCCGGCTTCATTCCTGCATTCATCGGATGAGAATTTCATTAGTGGAATATATTGCTCTTCCTTTGTTAATCTTACTTTTCTTTTTCTTTTGGTGTTCCAATGTGGAATATATTGCATTGTACTTGTCAAGAAAAAAGGTAGATATTCCATTGTAATGAGTCTAGAATATTCTGAGATTCATCTCAAATGAAGCAAAGATCATGTCACTGTCTTTTGCATTTGTCTCAACTATTGGAGTAGTTTATTTAATCACATTCAATTTTGTACATATCTTCAGAGCCCATATGTGGAGGCTCCGCAGTTTGCCGGTGGTCAATTCAGCTATAACTTCCCCATGCCGACTGCACCACCAGGTGCACAGAGACATGCATAGGTACGGAGTTCATGAAGAATTTATGTAGCTTGTGAATGGTAGTGCTTGTTGTTGTTGTTGTTGTATGGCTTATTCTTAGGGAAGAGAGGGAGTTTGAGCTTCTTATGTATCCAGTGTGTACACATACTTAAGGCATTGATTCCAAACATGTGGAACGGATTGGTGAGCAGAGAAAAGTTTCTGGACATGTTGCTTTCATGAAGGACTGCTTTGTAATTAATTTGTTCGAGTGTAATTTGTGTGGCCTGTAAATGCAAAATATTATATTGCATTGGTCTATTCATCATGTTCTATAACCAATGAAAAGTTTGTTATTGAGCTATTCTGCCAACGCCCTAGCTGGTGTATTTTTGTACTCAAGACTTGCGAGTATTTCCTAATTGAACGCGTTATGAACAGTAAACAAGAAATTCTTTATTCAAAAATGTGTTATACGTTTTGAAGTTGACCAAGTAATAGATGCAAGAAAGAAAGTTTGTCACTTTGGCAAAGTGCGCAAGATCTCGACCTATTTCAGTCTTCAATTTCAGAAATAGCCAATTCGAATTTCGAAGCAATAGCCAATACGAAGATTCTTATTATTACACTTAGTTGGCGTCTTTTTGTATTCGGATCTTATATAATACTTAAATGTATCAATAAGGAATTATGAGAACTAGTTAGTATGATTTATGAATACGAAATACGAATCATGAACTATCATAAAGAAAATATGATATACGTGACCTTTTTGACTAATCAAAGCATACAGAGGAAAAAGCGTTTTTGTTCTTAGGTGCAAAAGGCCACTCGTTATTCAATTTTGGTCGTATGCTACACGAAGTTATTCAATTTTGTCCTATTCATCACCTTGAGTTAGCAAACAGTCTTGTATTTGTCCCTGGCCTTAGCGAAGTTCTAGCGTGAAATGGATGAGTTTTACATGTCCAAATTAATCGAAAAAGTCTAAATTTTCACCTCAATTTTTCCTATAGTTTAAAATTATCTCAGATGGTAGCTCCGTAAAAGTCAAGGAAAAAAGAAGACATTTTTCCTAACGACAGAGACAATAATTGAAGTCTAACACAAAAATTGTTCAATTTTGAATAGTACATACGTAAATTTGACCCTTTTTCCAAGTAGGAATGATGAATGCCCGTTACATATTATCTCCAATTGCTCCAGTAGCTATGCTGCACCTTTTCAAAACCAAATGTCATTTAGTTAACTTAAATAACATGTTCAACCATAGCTAAAATGTATCTTGTCACCCTTAAATAGTTGGTCCTGAAAATTTTGGTTGCTGATTTTCATTGAATTGTAGAAGGTATTTGATGTTAGGCTAAAAATTCATATTTTTGTAAGTAATTTGCCTTGCATTATATCTCAATCTTCTTAACTTTGGTGTAAATATTTGTGGCTCGAGCTTAATAATGATGTTTATATGTGTAGGAGTCAATTTGAAGTCATTTGGCAAGCTTGCATGCAAAGTGAACTAAAAACAGAAGAATTTGGAGAGAGTATGATTTTGGTGCCCAAGTTGGCGCCAGGCACCAACCAAAACGCCAATGGCAGAATAGCACAGAAGTGGAAAAACTTTTGGTGTCCAGGTTGGCGCCAGGCGCCAAGCGAGACGGCTAAGGGCGTATTTCGTCATAATTCTGCTAGGACTTGGTAGTTTCGACCCTACACGCCCCCAACACGTATATAAGGAGTTCTAAACCTATTTCTTATGGGGGAGACATTATTGGAGAGATAAAAAACTACGAGAACACTTGGAAGCAACGTATTATAAGAGTTTCCTCTTCCGTTCTTTCTTACTCTGTATTTTAATGCTTTCAATTATTATCATGATTGTTAGTATGGTTATGAGTAGCTAAACTTTCTCGTCTAGGGTTTGATGGAAGGATGACTTTTAATTACGTTTAATATAATTTAGCCTTTGGATTTCTCTACTTGTTCAACTACGTGTTTGTTGCTGTTGATTGAATGACCATCAATTGACTGTGCCTATTTAGTGTGTATTGCTTGAGAAAGGGTACATATTTAGGTAGTTGTTGAACAACATCACTCCTAACGTATGTGAGAAATCAATACGGAGGGTTTAAAGGCGGGATTAGAGATAACGAAACCTTGGTGCGATCATAGTGAGCGGTGAATTAGCGTAACGTAGTTTGAGAGAATACGTCTAGTAAATTGTGGTAGTTGCTCGAGAGAGAGCTACGACACCCAAAGTACTTACGATCGGTAGAGAATACTTAGGAAAAATTATAGAAGACGTAGAGGGTAAGATTCCAACAATTGGGAAAATCATAATTATAGACCTCCTTAATCTTTTCTCCAACCCTTAGTATCCCTATTTATTAATTCACTACTTTAATTGGTTAGTTAATTAGTTTGAAAATCATAATCTTAATATTTGTAACTTAGAAATTATTCGAGTTTGTCTTTTTAGTATTAGTAAACAGTTGTAGCTAAACCATAGTTTTCTGTGGGATTCGACTTTGGACTTGTAAACCGAATTATATTTGTAACGACCGCTAGACCTTTTAGGAGGCGTAGTTGGGCGTGATCAGTATTACGAGCTAACTTTGACCTTTTATGGTAGTTAATAGATTTTTCTTTAATAAATGACTTCTCTTTTAACTTTGGACCAAAAGTGTACTAGTTTTGCGAACTTGAAGGACTATTCATGTTCACATTTATATACTCGAGACCAAAATGAAATCTATTGCTTCCAATTCACTTTATGTGACAGTATTTCCACATTTTACATTTAAAAATAATTTAGTTCTAAATTATTTAATTTTTAAAGGTGAGGGGGAGTTTGATTTTTACTCATATATATTTTGTAGTCACACAAATATTAAGGTATATTTAAGATCACTGATATCAATAGTTTTTTTTGTATTTTTAAAATTTTATATTATATTAAATTATGTCACATAAATTAAAAAGAAATATTATTATACTTAAAAGTACAAATTGAGTTTTTTCTTTCTGTTAAATTTTCTCAAGGGAAAAGAAAAGAGTTTTTTTTTTTACTTTTAGGCTGCGCCAAAAACTATTTATATTTGATAATCGAAAAAGTATATAAAATTTATATAATTTTTATATATAACATATAAAAATGTATATATACCTAAAAAATATATAAAAAGTAAATATTTTATCGACAATTATTTTGAGAGTATATAAATAATTATGATTTTCCCAAGGAAAAAGAAAAAGGAAAGAGTTTGGAGAAGCGGCAAGATCTAGACTCTAGTGATGTAGCATCGAAAATAACGGTGGGAGAAACTAGATTAGTAGATGTAGAAGTAGAATACAAGGTTAAGGTTGAAATATTTTACGAGGTCATCCCAAGGGAAAATAAAGGGGTGGGGGTGAGGAGTGAAAGGAAAGCAGCGAGTATTAAGCGTCAAATTTTTAGAACGTCGAGGGAGGCAGGCCGTAAATCGTAGAAAAAACACACACACACACACACTCTCTCTCTCCTCCAATTCTCCAAAATTCAGATCTTCACTTAATTCCCTCTTACTTCTGTCCTCTCACACGCAAAGAAACACATCCCACATGCCCCCTCTCTCTACAGGACAAAGCAAAGTGAGTAACTTTTACTGACACGAGAGAGATAATTATTAGTACTACTAATATAGGTAGCAATCCCATTCATCAGTTTGTCACATTTTCTGGATCGGCATTTCCCACAATTTGAGATTCATTTCTGCATTGATCTCTGTTGTCTACTTTGTTTTGTCCTAAATTCCTGCCCCTCTCTGTAACGAGTTGGGTGGGTGGGTGGCTAGATCTTTGCTCAATTTTACTTGAGCATATACAACTGAATTTAGTTTAATTGTGTTAGCAATATGGAGAGCGAGAAGAAGGTTTCTCCGGTATCCGACGTGGGGGCATGGGCGATGAACGTTGTTAGTTCGGTGGGAATTATTATGGCCAACAAGCAACTTATGTCGGCCAACGGTTATTCTTTCACCTTCGGTAATATTCCTCAGATCTCGTTCCAAATTTTTCATTTCTTATTTTTTTGATTCATGCACAAAATATGCACTCTTTTCTCCCATACTACCTTAGCTCGTAGAGGTGGATCCACGATTTGAAGGTAGCGGGTGCACGAATGCATTTATTTATCTTAGACGTATCAATAAATACAAAATGTAAATGTCTGCATCCGGTTGATTCGGTTGGTTTTGGATTAATTCAGCTCAAGTTATTTGGTTTTCGGTTCATAAATAGACAATCTGATCCGAATCTTAAATTTGTATTCATAATATGTTCAATTATGAACCAAGCAGAAAAATAAATTGACAAGTATCATATTTACAGCTCATATCAAGCTCAATATAGCATATATTCAATTCTCAACTTGAAGCATATGAAACTATAAACCTCAAATTAATTACTTAAGAGAAAAAAAAGTTAGATATGCGGGACTGATATTTAAAAACTGAGATATCAACAGTATAACTATTACTAGTACCTATAAGTTGAGTGTATTCAGATAAACTCTTTTATTAACTGGGCACGAAAATTCGAACAACAAGGGAAAATGGGCCGTAATATCTCGGCTATCGAAAAAAGAGACGGAGGCCGGGTTGGTACTATTTCTGCAATTGCTTATCTGGCCTTAGACGGCACTACTTAGAACTTATCTGGAAAGATATAACAGTCTTTTGTTACGGTGCTTAAGTGGAGAAGTGTAGAGGGGTGGCCACATTATCTATTGAGTTTCGAACTGTGTGCCACTGGTCTTTGGGGATATTTGGTTATAAAAAAGAAGTCTTTCTTGTGGTATGGAAAACCTTTAGCATCAGGCTTTATGTGCCTTATTACATCAGGCTTGTCATCAGTTGTTATTATAAGGGCAAGGTGGTAGGCTTTATGCCTATCCGGGGAGAAGATATATATATTTATGGTATTTTTGCTTTGTAGAAGCATGCATCCAGCTGAAATCTTTTAGTTGAAGGACATAGGAAGTACACGTTACTATCCATTTGGTCATATAATGTATGCGTTCAATTCCAAATGTTCGACCTGTCATTTTTAATTTCATGTTGTTTCCTCCAGCTACAACGTTGACTGGGTTCCACTTTGCTGTGACGGCGCTTGTTGGGATGGTGTCAAATGCCACGGGTTTTTCCTCATCAAAGCATGTACCTTTGTGGGAACTTATCTGGTTCTCAATTGTCGCAAACATGTCTATCACAGGGATGAACTTAAGTCTGATGCTCAATTCAGTTGGATTTTACCAAGTATGATATTGTCTCTTTTGTTGTATACTTTACTCGCTTTTGTGTTTTGTCCTTAACGTTTCTTGTTATGTTTTGAAATTTCTTCTTATAGAAAAGATAAGTCTTGGATTCCCGTTATGTTGGTGAATAAGATTTGTTAACAACTTTATAATGTTATCAGCTTTCAGTCTCCTTTGGTTGGAAAAGAATATAATTACTAAAAAAAATTTCACTAGAACTTTTTATCTGTTTCTTGCATCCCTTTGCTCCACATTTTGAATTTCGACCCTTAAAATCGTTACATATCAGTTTTACCTATCAGCAGAAGAAATTGTTTGATATTTGTTTTAGGTGCATTGAAGTTACAAATAACAGACAAAACTTGGTACTTGCTGAAATTTTAGCTTCAAGTAGATTTTAAGGTTTGATAACTACTATGGTCCAAGTTTATGTGCGTTACTAGCTAGCTATGAAGGGTGTACTTGGAACAGCTTTTACAAGATGATCCCAAACCTTTTCCTTTCAAAAAAGGATTTCATTTTTTATTTTTTTCATAAATTAGTTTGCTAACTTATTAAATAAACAAATGGGTTTGGGACCCTAGTTGGTGATATAGTTCATGATCTGTTGACGTGGAGTTAACTAATATCTATCAGTATCTTCATCATCTGAAATGATAACATACAACTTAGTTTTGCTTTGAAAGGAAGAGGAAGGAAAGAAAATAGGAAAAATGAGAATGGAATATAAACTAGGGTTAGTAATTTTCTTTATTTGATTGGTTTAAGAGGAAAGTTGCAGGAAAGGGAAATTTATGTTCCCTACTTCTCCGTGATTGCAAATCAGTTAGTAGAATGAAAACCAATAATAGAAAGAAAGGCTGCTTTCCCTCATTCCTAGGGATCCATACATATCATTAGCTGTAGTGTTTTTGCTCAGGAATTCAATTTAGTCTCATAGTTCTCCTTTATACTTATTTTTTGATAAGGATATCTCCTTGGTAATCATTACAATTGATTATAGTTTTTAGCAAAGCAAGTCCATCTAAACCTTTTAGCGTGTATTTGATGTAGAAAAAGTGGTTCAATGAAGTTCTTTTTTCTGTTATTTTTTGGGGATGAAGTGCCAATAAAGTGTGCCTTTTCCCAAATGCAGGTGGTCCAATTAAGTTTTTGTATGTGCATAAACTTCTAGTAGGTTTGCATCCACTAGGACAGTGACTTTAGGCTCACACCCCTATTGCAGAAGTAAATTTGAAGATTAGTTGGTCAAAAATATTGATGTCGGTCCCTTTTTTGCAGAAAATTCATTTAGGTTTAAAAAGTTATCATTGGCAGACTTTAATGGTTATTGAGTTTTTAGCATTCAGAGTAGTTTTACTGACCGAATTGTCTGGATGCAGAAGAGTCTTTTTTTCTTCAAAAATGATTAACAAGGATTTGAAGCATTTATTCTTTTTGGCCTAATGGCTGCATCATTTACATATTAGATCTTTCTTTATGGTCGTAACTCTCATATATCTACTGATAAGTAAATTAATTTTGTTCACACTAGCACCACCGAAGTGCTTAAATGTCTTCTAAAAACTCAAGCGGGGACAATAGATTCATGAGCTCCTCTATGCCTTCTGTGTGTATCTCTTTACACCAAAAAGCAGAGCATCTAAAAATCTTTTTGGAAGCTGACTCTGCAGTAAGAAATACTCTTATCTTCTGCATTGGTATTGTTCTGCCCCTCACTCATCACACTGTCATATTCAGGTTCAGTGTCTAATGAGCTGTTTGCTGATGTGTTCCTTCATGTTTGTCTCATGTTGATCTTTTCATTGGTTATTGCTTTTTAGAGAAGAGTTAGTTCAAAACTGCTAGCAAGCAGAGAAGAAGTGGATCGGTAGTCGTTATTTGAGCTGAACCAGTTGTTTTTTGTTTTACTGAACTCCAATTAGTTGATTATAGGTTAATATGTATAATAGTATACTAGCAGTTAGCACTTGTTTTGTTTTTGTCCTTGGTGAAATTTCATTTTATATGCCTAAGTTTTTCCATTTTTTTGATGTAGATCTCAAAGTTGAGCATGATTCCAGTGGTTTGTGTGATGGAATGGATCCTTCATAGTAAGCGTTACTCGAAGGAGGTTAAAATGTCGGTTGTGGTGGTTGTTATCGGTGTGGGTGTTTGCACAGTAACTGATGTCAAGGTTAATGCCAAAGGTTTTATTTGCGCTTGTGTTGCAGTTCTGTCGACATCATTGCAGCAGATTGTGAGTATACTCTGGCTTCTTCATAGCTTTACTGCAAAAGACTGAATAATTAAAAAGATTGCCCAAAAGAGAAATATTTGGTGTGGATCTGATTTAAGATCGCTAGCATCAAAAGTTTAACGATAAAGTATGTTGAGGTTTCTTTTGTGATTTGATTCCATCTATTTATGTGGGTTTAATTTGTCATTACAAACTTACTTAGTTTTTCTTTCTGAGGGACAAATTAATTTATTAGGGAGGCTGTGATAGTGCTATCCAACTTTTCTATCCTTATAAAAAATGCCCTCTTTCTATGAAAAAGCTAAAGGGCAGAAGCCTAAATTTTTTCCCTTTTTCCTTTCTTCCCTTTTCTCCCTATAGAAGTGATGAAAGTTGGCTTTTGTTTTTGCTTCTTGTTATAGCGCAGGGAAGAAGTAATTACTCTATCAGACCCCTTTATGCTTGACAAGGATCCGTTCTTGTTCTATAAAGCTAAAGGAAAGAAGTCTCAAAATTGTCATGTATTGGTTTTAATTGAGGGGTAAAAAGGGGAGAAAGGAAAACATGAAGTCGACCTTTTTATTTGCTCACTGCTTTGGTCCCTGTTCAGTTGTATATAGAGCAAAAGCTTGCTTCTTGCAATTGCAGAGTTTAGAAACAGTTACCAGAGATATCCTATATCTTCAATGGAACAAAGAAAGAATTTCCTGCTGGCCCAATTTATATATATATTTTATCATCAAGCTCTCACTTTTTTCAACCAAATTAGCTTGTTGGTTATTCTTTCACCCCCATCTCTTAAACTTGTGGTTGCATTTGTGTGATCAAACGATGCTTTTCTGGTGCAGTCAATAGGTTCTTTGCAGAAAAAGTACTCAATTGGATCCTTTGAATTATTGAGTAAAACAGCTCCGATACAAGCTTGCTCCCTCCTTGTGCTTGGTCCTTTTTGCGACTATTATCTTAGTGGAAATCTATTACTAGACTACAAGTACACTTCTGGCGCCATTGTAAGTATCAACCAATCTTCTCCTTCCCAGATTATGATGCATATTTGATTGGTCCGTTTCTGCCTACTTAGCTTTATGTGCTCTGATCATTGATGTGTGGCACTTTTTGCAGTTCTTTATACTCCTGTCGTGTTCGTTAGCTGTTTTCTGCAATGTGAGTCAGTATCTCTGCATCGGGCGATTCTCTGCAGTTTCCTTCCAGGTTCTAGGCCACATGAAGACAGTGTGTGTGCTGACTTTGGGCTGGTTGCTCTTTGATTCGGCATTGACTCTTAAGAACATTTTGGGTATGCTTGTTGCTGTCGCCGGCATGGTGATCTATAGTTGGGCTGTGGAGGTTGAAAAATCCAACACCAAGAGTCCCCATGCTGCCAAAAACAGCTTGACAGAAGAGGAGCTGAGATTATTGAAGGAGGAAATGGAGAAGACTGACGTTGAAGTCGGTCAGTCCAAGGCCTAAATTGAGGTCTCTATTGTTAGCCATCACGTAATATAGCTTTTTGGATCAATTTGCATGTAGTTTATACTATTTGTTGCATTATTCATTGGACCTCCTACATTTGGTCCCAATTTGGTGACCTTGGATTGTTTTGAATAGTTACTGAATATTTTGTTCTTTATCCAAGTCCGCTAGGGTTCATACCATTTACGCTACTGTTATTTTACATAATTCGTTTGATTTAATTTTAAGTCACGACCCAGGATAACAAGTGCATAGTAATTTGCAATATAAAGTCAGTAATAGGCAAGCGGGGGAGGATGATATGCTTGATACAACACTGAGTGAGATCTTGATATGGATCTTAGATGATTAAAAAACACAGAAAAAAGTTACTCTATACTGTAATAAATGTACAATAGGATATTTGGACCTCTGGATAATTAGTTCATAGAAGTTTCTCTGGATAACCTAATAGCGAATATTGAAGAAATCTGTGGAAGTTGATTACAAGTGACTCACGGCTTAGGTCTGGTAGTAAAAATGCAACAGTCAGATTTGTGGATTAAGCTCAAAGTCATGAAACAAAAGCTTTATATTTAAGTGGAGATGGATAAAAGGACGGATCTGTTATCTAGTGTGTATCAGATCGTGCGTCAATAATCTTCGGAGATTCTTCAGTTATCCCAAAGAAAAATTAGTTCCATCATCTATCGATATTGGGTTTGAATTCTTCAACAAAAAAGGTCTTGTAGAGAAAAAAGAAGAGTGAACTCATTATTCATCGAGTTTCAAAATCGTGCAAAAGCAAAATAATTTTTTGATTTTCTAGAAAAAGAGACCCTAGTATGAAGTGTGCGTGTAATAGTAACGGACCAAAGAGTGGATAGGCATTTTGTCTATGATGTTACTCTTAATCCAGCATTATTGCTGGTTGGTCGATCCAATATAAGTAATAAGTCTGTATATTCAATCTCACAAAAGGAGAATTAAAGACCTCTTTAGGTAAGTGTACCATTCCGTCTCGTTCATGATTCATCAATTTGAAATGATTCAACTAAAAAAGAATATTAGTACTATTAAGAGAAAACCATATTAAGAAGTATTTTAAGTTTTTAAAGCTGATGATTATGACGATTAAGCCAATTATAAGCGTATCTCAAGAGTAGAGTCTCAAGACTAGCAAAGTAAAAATTTCTTAGTAGCACTACATCGTGTAGTTTGTAATATTTGCAAAGAACCAAACAGATTAATAGTCTAAATTTTAACCCTAAATGACTCTCATATTCTTGAATTAACTAGAATGATCTTAGCTATTTATATGTTGAGTTGATAAATTGAGTATGATCATTAACGAAATTGAACACGAAATATTTTGTTAATATTATCCACTTCTCTGGACAAAAATTTGAATAACATATAATTTTTAAGCTCCTTAACATCATACAATCTTATATGAAATTAATGTTAAAATTCCTCACGAGCTCACGAGCTCTCAAGTGTTGAAGCGTATGTTTAGCCCTACTAATTGAGCGAGTAATATCACAAATGAGGAACCAAAGTTAGGTGCTTATCTTAGAATGATGATCCACCAACAAGTTTTAATAGTTAAAAAAATGGTGATATTAATCTGTTTGTTGATCAAGAATTCTATTTTTTAAGAAATATCATGGTCGTTTAAATTTTAATTTATTTAATAAGGTTCATTTGAATCGAATTAATACTTTTTAGATCATGTCATCAGACAAGACATGCCATCAAACTAGATCGCTCGAGCTAAGTTGGGTGCCAGGTTATGGATAAAATAATATATGTATATATCAGCCAAATATTTTTATTTTATTTTATGCAATTTTTATAGATGTTCAATTATTAATTTTTTTAAAATGCTCATCATTTATGTTAAGAGAAATGTAATACTTTAACTTTTAATAAAAATTCAAAGATATTTTGTTAGTCGAGGATTAAATTCTACCCAAATTTATCACTCAAAAGCTTAAAGTTTTAAATAAAAAGTTATATCAATCAATAATAAAAGAGACAAAAGCGCAGTAATCCCGTTCTATTCTGACTCCATATGTTTCCTATAGCTAGTCTTTTCTTTTTTCTTTCGTTTACAGATTTTTCCTTTAACTTTTTTCCTTTCCCATAAAGCATCAACCTTTTTCTCTCTCTCTCTCTCCTCCCACCGCATTTTTCACTTTCACTTTCACACACACACAATTTGGCTTTATTTGTGCTTTCCTTGTCTTTTGATTAACTCTCTCTCTCCACTGGGAAGAAGAGAATAGACCAACCCCCACCCCCCTCTCTGTCACATAGAATATAGTATTAGTACATACTAAGTATTTATCTATTTGAGCATTTTTTTTGCAATTTATATTACCAAATCTGTGAATTGTCAGCTTCTGTTCAAGCATTTTTTTGTGCGTCGTTGGTGGATATACAAATTTGTACATAACTACATTTTGAGTACTCGATTGTATATGTGTTATAGTGTGTGTGTGTGTGTGTGTGTGTGAAGGAAAAGAGCAGAAAGGAGGGAGAAAGATTGTTGTGTAGCAGAGTATAATTTGCTGAAATTGTGAAGTTAGAAAGTAAAACAAAGCAAAAAAATTAAATAGATATAATGGGGTCAGAGCAGAATAGATTTCCGCAGCAGCAAGGACCGCCACTTCCTTCTCGGGTACTCTCATTTTCCAGATCTACTTTCTCTCTGTGTATGTGTGTTTCTTTGTGTGGATTAAAATTTGTACATCTATTATGGCTTCTAAAAGTACTTTGATTGTGTGCTAGAATCACATTTGCAAGCAGATCTGACTTTATTTTGGTGAAATGGAGCAAATTGGGATGACATTTATCTACTAAATAGTTGTCCTCCACAGTGATAGATCTCTTTTCCTCTTTGATTAATGCAGTTATTCTCACACATTAAAAATGAATTTAAGTTATATGACTGACTGGCAATGTATTAGAGTAAAAAAAATTACACTATCAGTGTAATTTAACCTGTTATAGCAGGTTTCTTACCGTTTATTATTAGTTATCACTATTAATTAGAGTTACTTGCGAGAGTTTAAGTTATTAACACCGCTAGTGTAAGGATTTTTAAATCATCTGGTCTGCTTTACAAGTAATCGGCCTTATTTCATGATTACAAATCCCACATTTTAAGGAGGGTTACCTGTAATTATCTTTAGTGACCTGATAATGTAAATTCCTTACACTGACGATGTATATAATTACCTTTTACGTAAGCTGGTTGTATAAATTATTTTTACACTGTTAGTGCATACAACTTAAACTCAAAAAACACACACACACACACACACACTATATGTATATTAATGCAGTAATTCTCTAAGGCATAGAGCTACAAGGATAATGATAGGCCAAAACAAAGTTTTATTTTTTTGTTTATTTGGTAAATGTGATTTTTCCAAAGGAAGATTGTCCTACTTCATAAGCTATGTTGGGTTTGCCTCTGTGCTACTCATGTGACATTTGTTCTGGCAGCTGGTAATGGAAATTTAACTGTATGTGGACCATAGTATCTTTTAGATGTATGAAAAGGATTGTGCAGCTGATACATGAGTCAAATGGACTGGTGGTAGAAAGAATAAGTGGTTTTTCATTATGACATAAGATACCATCAGAGAATCTGAATTATCACTTTCGCTGTTTATGATTTCTGCACTTCGGTCTGAAATCTGTGCTTATGATCTTTCTTTACTGTTGTTCTTGGATTTTGCGTGTGTACCACTTAGACAGCCTCTTGCAGCGATTGCTTTTGTCCAGATATTGTATGAAACTAGCTAAGCACCTTTCAAACGGCATCTTCCCCTCTTTTTTCCATTTATATGTTAGATTAGATCCCAACTGCTAATGCTTTAATCTTTGACAGCGTAAACGATGGGGAGGATGTTTGGGAGGATTGTCTTGTTTCGGAAGACAAAAAGGTGGAAAGCGTATAGTACCTTCATCTCGTATTCCCGAGGCCAATTCACTACCAAATCAGCAGAATGTACCCCAAGCTGGTGGGTTGAATAATCAGACTGCAGCTCTTTTAGCTCCACCATCGTCACCAGCATCCTTTTCGAATTCAGCGCTCCCTTCGACAGCTCAATCACCAAGCTGTTTTTTATCTAGTAATTCACCAGGTGGTCCTTCAAATGCTATGTTTGCCACTGGTCCATATGCTCATGAGACACAGTTGGTATCCCCTCCTGTATTCTCAAACTTCACCACTGAGCCATCTACTGCTCCTTTCACACCTCCGCCTGAGTTGGCCCACCTGACTACTCCCTCTTCCCCAGATGTGCCTTTCGCTCGGTTCCTCTCCTCTTCGGTGAATGTTAAAGCCACAGACAAGACTAACTACACTGGTGCTAATGATCTTCAAGCTACGTACTCTCTATATCCAGGGAGTCCTGCTAGTACTCTCAGATCCCCTGTTTCGAGGGTGTCAGGTGATTGCCTGTCATCGTCTTATGTTGAAAGGGAACTTCCTCAGTTGGATCCTTCTCTTCCTTCATCCGAGGCCAAGCATCCAGGCCCTGATTCAAGCACCTCAAAGTTGTCTCAAGATTCAAATTTCTTCTGTCCAGCTACATTTGCCCAATTTTACATCGACCATTCTTTATTTCCTCATTCTGGTGGAAGGCTGAGCGTTTCCAAAGAATCTGATGCTTATTCAAATAACGGGAATGGCCATCAGAGTAGGCAGAACAAACCCTGTAAACAAGATGCAGAGGAAGTAGAAGCTTACAGAGCGTCCTTTGGATTCAGTGCTGATGAGATTGTTACTACAACACAGTATGTGGAGATTTCTGATGTTGCATTAGATGATCCCTTTAGCATGATCCCTTTTACGAAGCCCCGAGAAGAGGAAACTATATTAACTATGTCAACAGCTGAGGGAACAAAAGGAGGGAATATCTCTAATATGGCATCTCCTCAGCACTGCAAATCAGGGATAAATCATTTCGAAACTGGCTATTGCGTGAAAGGTGCATGATCTTTTACTCCCTTGCTAGTTTGAAATAGAAACAGTTGGTATGAAGATACAGTCAAATGGATTCTCTCTTTTTTTCTGACCTTCATCATGAGATTTCAAGATTTATGTTTCTTCTGGTTTCTCTGCCATTAGTAGTAGTACAGGTTCCATTTATTTCATGCTAGTATTTATAATGTTTATACTTAACAG